TTTTATAAGGTGGCTTGACCCAAGGACCATTTAATGTAAATGTTGGGCCCATTAAGAGCCCATGGTGATGGGCTTAGGGGTTCACTGTTTACTACAATGAATTCGGCCAGGCCTTGTAATAGAGGCTAGGCTGAACCCATGTGGCTGATGTGTAGATCAATGTTTGGGTCCCACGCCATACAAGGATACCCAACTGGGCAGCAGTTTGGAGGATATGTGAGTACATGAACTTAATGGGCCTAAAACCCAATTCGAATTGGTAAAATATGATTATTTAAGGAGGGGCGGTTCTGGGATTTAGATTAGCAGATAGGATAGGGAGTTATCCCTATCTACTTAGAGAGTCCAGATCCAAGTAAAGATTTGGATTAGGAAACTCCTAATAAGATTAGGAGGGTTGATCTTTATCTGCAGATAAGATAAGGGTTTATCCTTATCTCTTAAAGATAGTCCAGATCCAAATGAGATTTGGATTAGGAAACTCCTAATGGGTTTAGGAGAAGCTTTCTTTAAGGCTATAAATAGAGGAGGTGGGCGAACCCTACTACACCCAAAATCAGATTACATATTCAAGAGAGAAGACAATTCCAGTCAGATTGACGCCATCTTCTGCTCTTGCCTCCTTCTATTGTTGTTGCCATAGCCAGTTTGATCTCCACATGTAGGAGCGATCAAGAAGCGTTCTTGATATCAGTTTTTGGTGAAAAACTGATCTGAAGTCGTGCTCACTCACCCTCCATCGAATTCTTGCTGAAGAACCACCTGCTGATTCTGCTCCACCCTACGCTGTGTCATCTTCAGTGGGAGCAGTCTTTGGCATTTTCCTTGGGCGTGAACACCTTCGTTAGGAGTTACTGTTACTTCGTTTCAGGTACATCCCTCTCCTACCTTTTGGTTTCAAATCTGGTCCGGTTTAGGTTCAAGATTGATCATTGAAAATGCAGTTTTCTAAAATAGGGAATGTGATTCCCACATAGGAGAGAAATTTTTGAAATTTCGCCCAACCTACCTGCAAGGTTCGGCCATCCATATGATGGATCTCTCATCCCTTCATTTTGAGGGCATTATGTCATGCCTCTAAGTCAGTGGTTCAAAGCAATAACCGATTACAATCCAAAAATGCAGATCAAGGGCATTCGCAGAAACATGTGTCCATGACACATGTGATTGTACAAATACATACAAATAAACTTTTGTTCATGATAAAAGAAATCTGCAGCAACTATTGGATTTTGAGGGTATTACTGTCTGGCATCAACAACTTTCCCGGTGGTCACCAAAAATAATATTAGCTTCTAAAAAAACAAGCTGTCTATGAAATGATTTAAACGATGTCCATCTTGAACAATAACTTTGTGTTTTGTCATCTTAGAGAAGAACTTAGTTCAGTTATGGAAATCCCCATAAAAGTTCATGACCTTGATAGTCATTCTGAGATGAGTGTTAGCATTATTCTATGGAATTGCTAGCTTCTTGGCATTCCCATACAATATCTACTTTTCTTCTTTGTCACATATACAAAACTCTTGCATGTATGTATCCCTTGATCCTCATGTATACTTAGGATTCCATAAATTTCCTAAGAACCAAATGTTCCTCAGACAAATATACTCTCCATGTCGTAGGCTTTTGGTTCAGGAGCTGTTAAAAAATCCCTCATCATGCTTTCTCTAATTCAGACCTGTTGTTATCTTGAGATTGTTTTTGGATAGCTTTATGTAGATATCATTTTGTATAGTGAATCATTGTATATCATCATACTTGTACATGATTATACAGTCAATTGAATACAATACTTTTTTTTCTCAAAAAAAAAAAAAAAGAAAAACTCTTCATACTTCAATCATTCCCTGTGCTT